TAAACCTCAAAAGATTACATACAATATGATTATACTTTAATTACCTGAAAAATCAAACAAACGTTAAAGAGAAAATCCTTTTTGATCACTTCTCTCTCCTATTCCACCCCCTATTTTCTACCTTGTAAAGGCAGCCATTATCTTGAATTTGTTATTTATCCTTCTGATTCGTTTTTTAAAAGTCTTTTCTTGGGCCGGCCCGGTGGCGCACTGGATAGTGCGCCGCTTGGGAAGCGCGGCGGCACTCCCATCCGAGGGTTCGGATCCCACATACAGACCGGCTCCTGCTCACTGGCTGAGCGAGGCGTGGGAGCAACGCCGAGGCTTGCGATCCCGTTGCCGGTCCCCGGTCCGGTACGGGGGCAACACTGAGGGTTGCGATCCGTTGCCGGACACGGAAAAAAGACAAAAAAAAAAAAGTCTTTTCTCTCTCTACATATATGTGTGTATTTATATGTATAGGTATATGTTAATACATGTTTTTAAAGGTTTTAAATTACATGTTATTTGGAAGTTAATAATAGCTCCAATGTGATGCTTGTAACATAAATACCTATGTGTATTATTAAACAGAATGAAAACTATATCACTTCTATCCTTTCCATCAATATTCATATCATATAAATAAACCATAGTGTAATGGGAGAGCTGAATTCCAATTAGTTAGTCTAATCACCATCCTAATAATTCATATCATGCTCTCAAGATAATACCATATTGTACGTTAGGAGAGTATTTTAATTTCAAGAAGAGTAAATGGGATTAATTTCAAGAGGCAGCAGTTTCAATGTGGGACCGAAAAACTTAGTTTGATAATTAACTCATTCTTAAAGTCCAAAATATTATCTAACTACTACATCATTGGAGTAGACAATTAAATCAGTCATTTAAAAAAAAGGTAACTTTGTGAACTAATCCGAATATTTAATGGACACTCTGTTTATATTTGATAGAGTGAGAAATACTTCCGGTTATTTAGGTTTGAAGGGGCTCCTCAGCATTGCCCAGCAGTCATGCTGACTCATCAGGTTTAACAGGTTTCCTGGGTGCTGTTCAAAAGCTAGATGGCCATTATTTGCCACCCAAATCTCTAGGATTCTTTCTGGAAAGAAATTAATTTTCTTCCCTCAAAATACCTGGTGGCAGCACATATTCATATTTTCATGTCATTGAGTCTGAATCGTCTTACTTTTCTTGTGTCTTCTTTCAACTCTGAGAACTAAAATGTAACCCCACGGCAAAGGCCATTTTGTTATCTCCTCGGGATCTTCATGACAGCTGATCTGCAACTATCTTGAATTATCTTACGAAAAACTAGAGGGCCGGCCTGGTGGCGCACTGCTACAGTGCACCGCTTGGGAGCCAGCGGCGCTCCCGCCGAGGGTTCGGATCCCACATACAGACCGGCCGCTCACTGGCTGAGCGAGGTGCGGGCGCAACACCGAGGGTTGCGATCCCGTTGCTGGTCCTGGTCCAGTACGGGCGCGACACTGAGGGTTGCGATCCGTTGCTGGTCACGGAAAAAGACAAAAAGGAAAAAAAAAAGTAACTTTGTGAACTAATCCGAATATTTAATGTACACTCTGTTTATATTTGATAGAGTGAGAAATACTTCCGGTTATTTAGGTTTGAAGGGGCTTCTCAGCATTGCCCAGCAGTCATGCTGACTCATCAGGTTTAACAGCTTTCCTGGGTGCTGTTCAAAAGCTAGCTGGCCATTATTTGCGACCCAAATCTCTAGGATTCTTTCTGGAAAGAAATTAATTTTCTTCCCTCAAAATACCTGGTGGCAGCACATATTCATATTTTCATGTCGTTGAGTCTGAATTGTCTTACTTTTCTTGTGTCTTCTTTCAACTCTGAGAACTAAAATGTAACCCCACGGCAAAGACCATTTTGTTACCTCCTCGGGATCTTCATGACAGCTGATCTGCAACTATCTTGAATTATCTTACGAAAAACTAGGGGAAGAATTGAATAATAAAATCCCATACCAAAATTAATTTTAAAGTTTCAGAATTTTAATTCACTCTAAAAATAACTATGCTGCCCTTTTAGATCATTCTACCACTAAATCACCCATGCTAAAATAGCATGTTGTCATTTTCGTTGAGAAAGCAGTACTACGATTTTTTTTTTCAAAATTTGTTTTCAGTTAGTATTTAGTAATGAGTATCATAAAAATACTAGTTACAGGATTTACTAATATACTAGCCCCCCTCCACGTATCATGGAGAAGCTGACAAAATAAACGGAATTGGGCACTTGCATAAAATATCAAGTGAGGCATGAGCAGAAGCACTGTGCTGTTGTCATACCCAAACTAAGAGCTCAGAGGTAGTGAGAAGAACCAAGATGTGCAGTAAGATTCAGTTTGGATTTATTTAGGATGTTTGATGATCAGTGTAAAAGAACTATACCTGTGTTAGCTTATAATTAGCAACCATAATACCTTTCTCACAGACCTGTGATCTTAAAAAACAAAACAAAACCCTACTGTATATTAAGTTCTGAATTTGGTGTTTTGTTTATCTTCCTCTCTCTCTTCGATCCTTACACCTCTTCCTGGAGAGTAGGTATTATTATTATTTTCATTCTTCAGATGAAGTTCAAAGAGAGCAGGAGACTTGACCAAAGGTAGTGAGCAACTAGGAGTTGGGGAGAGCAGCGTTTGAAACCAGACTGGCCTACCAACTCTCTCCAGGTCAGGGTGTAACCCAGAGTTGGGTTTAAACAGTGCAGAGGGCACTGAAGAGGGACAGGCTCCGCTGCCAGTTAACTGTGTGGCCTTGGGCACTTGGACAGCAATGACAGCCTCCCCAGAGGGAAGATCCTCCCACCGAGAACCAGGTGATCCGAGAGGGCGCTCCAGGCCCCACTGTTCACAATCCAGACTGGGTCCTCGGGAACTATTATCCGACTACCACGCCCGCCTTCACTCACTGCCTAGTAATTTATCTAGTTAGGTGGCCCGCGAAATGCAGTTGCTGGGCAGGACGGCCTGTTTCGGTCCTTATTTGCTTTTCAAGGTGAAAAATGTGCGACCCCGACCTGCCTCTGCGGGCACCTAGGTTTTCCAGCACCGCCCCCTGAGTCCCCTGCGTTAGGACGAGGGGAGAAGCCTGGGCGTTTATTGCTCATTACGTCCCGCTCCATGTCGGCGGTTCCTGTGGAGCGTCCAAAGTGGGGTTCCCACGGACGCTGCAAACCCAAGGCCGGTTCTCTCAGAACGTGCGTCCTTGTGTCCTGGGGGTGAGGCGGAGAAAAGGGTTTAAGAGCAAGCCAGAGCGACCACAGCCAGGGTCACGCGCCCTCCCGCCTGCGAGCCCTGCGGCGCCGGCCTCCTTGAAGGAAGCCGAGCCGCAGCCAGTGAGGACACTGGCTGCAGCCCCACCCCCTGCCCCAGGGCTGCAGGTTTGTCGGCGCATCCCCGCCCCCGCTCCGCCGCCAGCTGCAGGTGAAGCGGCCGCCGCCGCCGAGTAGGTGCGTGGGCTGGTCTCACTCGCGCGCTCCGCTCCGCGCCAGGAGGAGGAGGAGCGGGAGCCGATCCAACTTCCGGGTAGTGGAGCTGCACGCCACCGGCGTCTTGCTTTTCCTTCCCCTCCCCTGTGTACCCCTCGCCTCTCCCTCCTTTCCTTTATTCTCGGCCCCACCCGCCAAAATGAACAGCTCGGACGAGGAGAAGCAGCTGCAGCTCATCACCAGTCTGAAGGAGCAAGGTAGGCGGGCGCCCGGGCGCC